AGTGTCAGATTCTGTTAGTTGAGGACACTTGTCACTTGTCACAGTCACTCGTTGTCCAGTGGTCTTACCTGTAGATGCTGGTCGGTTGTTGGTATGTCCTTATGATAGTTTCTGATAATTGCAGTTGGCACAGTGGTTTTGTTATGGTAATATATGGTAATTTGCAGAACGAGTTTTTATTTTGTGCTTTGAGTGGGCAGTTGTAATGGCTGAAGAGATTTATTTAGATATTGATATCTGTTTACAATAATTTGTTGTAATATTTAAATATTATTTAGCATTTATTCCAATAACAATTAAATTTTACCTGATTGATGTAAGTAACTAATTATATGTTATTTGAATATCAGTTACTTATTGTTTCTCAATTATTCTCAACTTGTTTTACAAGCCATATTGTTCTTTTACTTGATTTTTAACTAATTAGTGTAATTGCTGGTACTTTATAGTATCTAATTGTAATATTTTATTTATGTTAATTAAGAGAGCTGAGGCTTGGAGATGATTTTCTCCAATACGTACCTGCTCTGCCTCATTTTCTCTGGTGCATCCCAGAGTTCCCCTAAAATGACTCCGATGTTTTGGGGGTAACAGATCTGTGGAGCCTGTGTGTGTGTCTTACCCCAGAGAGGGGGCGTGGGAGCCCCCCCAGTGCAAAATGGTGTAGCTGGAGACGGGCTGCTGCTCTCCTCCTTTCCTGAGGTTTGCTTAAAAAAGGAAAAAACCACTTTATTTCTCTGCTACTCTGCGCTGAGAAGTTCCACGCAGGGATCCAGGCTTCGGCAGCCTAAGCTGGAGCAGGGCGGCGCTGCAGATGTCCGCTTTCTTTCCTGCCAGAAACATCCATCTTCGCTTCGGGTTCTGTCCATTTGTGAAATTTTGAGCCCCAAGGGCCCCCCATCCGCTGCCCCCTGCCAAAAAAGAGACACAGTGAGCCAGAGGCGGGCCGGCACACGGGAACCTTCCCGCTGCTGGCACACAGCAGCCTTCCCGCTGCCCCCCCATGCTCCCTCCTCCTCCCGGGTGCTGCACTACGGTTTAACATAAAACCCTCCCAGGTTTAACCTTGTTGTCACCTTACATCCCAGGAAGAAACCTGGAGCCCGTGGTTTCCTAAGTGGAACTCGATGCAGTTTGCTGGTGTTCAGTATCCTGGGGTGTCTGAATCAATAAGCATCAACACTCAGCACCCTTCCAGCACCCAGCCCTGCCATCGCACGGGGTGTGTTGCTGTTGCCCAGCCTTGCGGTGAAGCAGCCAGGCGCTGGATTTCCAGATCCCGCTGTGCTGGGGGCATTTCGGTTATTCCCGTGGACCGAGCACGGATGCTTTGACCGTCGTTTCGCTGAGCCTGGGTAAATCAGGAGAGACCCCCCTCGCCCCAGCCCGGTGTAATTATTTGCTAAAGACAGCTTTGCCGTCAGTCTTAGGTTACATAGTTCAACATTTTGTTTCCATGAGGAAAATAATGAACTGGGGTTTGTTTTGTAAACTGCAGCACAGCCTTGCTCACTGGTGCTGAACATTTGCCTGTCTGCTGTTTTCCAGGACACTGGAGTTCCTAATGAGGCACTTGGCTCGTCTGGCTGATTACTGCTCCATCACAAATATGCACACCAAGAACTTAGCGATTGTCTGGGCTCCAAACCTCCTGAGGTACTCTTTCTTCCCCCCCTCAATACAAGATAAGGTTTTATATTTATAAAAACAAGACAGATATACCTGTTCTCCAGAAAATCATAACTTTCAGCAGTTGAGAGAGAGGGATCTTCCTTTCTTCCATCCAAGGTGCTCTTCCCGTCCTGTAAAACAGCCGCCCGCTGCCATCAGTGGAACCGCCCCGAGAGAACATCCCCGTACTGCTCTGCCCCCCCGCCGCCCCCTGCCACCCACTGCCCTTCCGCAGGGGCAAGGAAGGATTCCCCCCACCCCTCTTTCCTAGGGGGTCGTTTCCCCTCTCCTGGTTAGATGGGACTGGGGTGTCCTGGCTCATCCAGGAGAATGTGTTCGGTGGCATCACTGATGTCCCATTGCCTAAGTCTCCAGAGTTAAATTTGACAGCTTTTCGCTGAAAAAATTCACCTATGGAAATGATCTTGGATAAATCTGTCCCTGAAAACTTGTTTTGAATGTGCATAATAGGCTAGTTTAAAATTCATGATGTAATTTTAAAATTTTGCTTTAAAATTAAAGAAAAAAAACCACCTTAGCCTTCATCGTATTGCTTTTGTCACCAACCTCAGAAATCCGAGTCGTAGATTCCCCGGCGTGCCGTTAGTGAGGGCAGGCTCTTTTCTCCTCTCTGGCGGTTCACCCACAAGCAGTCACATAACCTCTCATTCAGGTTTGATTTTGTGAATATTGGGGTGTTTGCTGAGCAGGATCAGGTGGCAGCATTCCCTGCTAGAGGGGAAAACTCACGTTAGAAGGGCACGGTGAGCTTTGTACGATGCCACTGCATTAAACTGCTGCCGCTCGCAGTACCGGGAGACAAGTGAACAAGAAGCCACGATCTGGGCCTGCCACAGACACCCTTCCCCTCCAGACCCAGCGTTCCCCTTGCCATTTCAGTCAGACTCGAACCTGAACCCCAGAAATCTGGGTGCATTCAGCGTGATCATTTGTGTAACGCTTCGCTGAGATTTAATCTCTAACTGCCCCGAAAGTCTCGTGCACCCGAGCAGCCAGAGACGATAGCTCAGCACGCGCCAAAGCCTTACCCGCAAGGAGCGCATCTTCCCACGTTCTGCTGGCTGCCTGCGTTTCATTAATCTGCCTTTTCCTCAGGTCGAAGCAGATCGAGTCTGCCTGCTTCAGCGGAACAGCTGCCTTCATGGAGGTGCGAATCCAGTCAGTGGTCGTGGAATTCATCTTGAACCACGTGGACGTTCTCTTCAGCTCCAAACTCAGCTCAGTCATACGAGATGGAGCAGGTGCGTGTCTTCCTCCACCGGCCTTGATCAAAAAAGGTAGCAAACACTTAATTTTTTAATTAACCTGAGCCTCCCCTGGGACATTTGAAATATCATTTTACTATAACCTAGAGGACAGATTTCCAGGGTTACGCTGTTAGAACCTGACAAATACAGCCTGGTTGTAGCAATTGCTATCAGTACCTTGCTTAGAAGCCAGGGATGCTCTACCGAAGCACACATCTCAATGCCTGGCTGGTACTTTTATGTCCTAGCACTGAGGAATTGGAAGGGGTCTCTTAAATCTTTGTTCCCCCTCCCTTCTCCCTCCCCTTCTTTTTAAAACCGTCATCATGGGTGCCCCAGCACGCTTACCCATTCGAGACATCTTGCAGTACAACACAAGGCACGATCTGTCTACCCTTATCAGTGCCGCAGAACAGAAACAGAAATGAACCAATTTAAAGAAAGCTCTCTGTATTCAGTAACACTGACGCTAAGAAACTTGGTCTTGCTCTTAACGGGGACTATTTTGACATCTGCTGTGCTCGTTATTCCTTCTGCGTAGTCCGTGTGGGTTAATTAGCAGGGCCCTACGCCTACGGCCCAGTTCTCTGCTTGCGTTGCCGATGTGCGGCTTTAGGAACCCCCAGGCACCTGAAACATCATTCAGCCCCAGAACCTACAAATTCCCTTGCGGAACTGCTAAGGCCCTAACTACCTGCTGAGGCCGCAAGTTTGCCTGCTCCATTGAAAACAAGCGGAGTTGCACCGGGAAGGAAGTTTACTCCGCGTGTTAGACGGCCGCACGCGGACAGCACCAGCTGTTGTCACTCCTCAGCAGCACTGAGCCCCTACCATCTGCTCTGCCCGCCCGCCCTTCCCGTGCAGGGTGCGCGGGCACTGCAGTCACCACGCCGGCAGAGCGCCGGTAGCTGTTTTTTCCAGTATATTTGCGGCTCCCCGCTTTGAAACGAGCCCTGCCTCTACTTAGGGTAGTAGAGTTGCTCCGAGTCCAGCTTCTGTTCCTACTGGAAAGCAATTTTAAGTCAATAGGAGCCAGAGGTTAGCTTGGCTGGACAGCAATAGCCCACAGCAGGCTGAGCTCTGCCAGGGGAAGATAAGCACGCTGAGAATCCGAGCCAAATGATTATCCAGGCTTAGAGTGGACCGTGTAAATTCGGCTAATTTTTTAATGACTTGGTCATTTGCATTCAGCGTGCTTTGACACAAAACCGGCGGGGAGAGGGGTCAGGCCGTTTCGCAGCGTAGCAGCTGGGTGCAGGAATACTGCGCTACAGCAAGGCAGCGTCCTGCCCCGGGCTTCCGCGAGCCCCTGGTCCTGAGCACGGGTTCCTGCCCGTCAGAGGCGAAAGGGGTGTCCCTACCCCAGCGTCACCCGGACAGCGGTCACAGCTGACCGACGCACAGGAGACTGCGCACCCGTTACGCGAGAGCTGCGACGCTGAAGGGAGAGAAGGCGGAACGGAACCCACCAGGATGGCGATGCGACGGGGTGACACGCTACCCCCACCCCCCGGCCATAGCCGTGTAAATCCTCGCTCAATAAGGGACGGCTGCTCTCACAGCGGCCTCCTCCGCACCACAAGCTGACTGCACAGACCTAGCAGGAGGAGGCAACATCACCTGCTTGTACAAGAACGTGCACGTTCATCTCCACAAACAAGCACGAGCTGCAGAAAGGCCAAGGGCAAGACGCACAGCTAGAGTCTGTTACCTGTGCCCACCTGCACCGAGGTGGAACCTGGGAGTGACCGAAGCCATGAGAAGGGAAACCATCACTTGCTTTACTTCCACATACAGATGAAGCTTAATTAAACTACACCAGTGAAGGTTTCTAACCTACCTGCCTCCCTCTGCCTTTTTTCCCTTTCTAAAATGCGCTACACTGCTCTCATAATTGAGAAGTTTCTGTGTCGTAAACATACCTCTGACAAAGCGGTGGTTTCGACCACGTCTTGCAGTGGCTGGGATGACAAAGATTTCGGAGAACACAGCACCGCCCTAGACACACAGACCCCGAGCTCTGATCTCTGTGCTGCTGTTTTCTGACTCTCCCTGCCGTTTTCCCTTACAGGGCACAGTTCTTTATCCCGGCCCAAGTCTCTGCTGGTGTCCTCTCCTTCCACCAAGCTGCTCACGCTGGAGGAGGCGCAGGCACGGACGCAAGCCCAGATCAACTCTCCCATCGTGGCAGACAGCAAATACATCGAAGTGGGAGAAGGCCCCGCAGCTTTACAGGGGAAATTCCACACAGTCATAGACTTCCCATCCGAAAGGTAGAGACGAGTTTCCTTTCCAGCATGTGGCATAACTGGTTTGGGTTTGTTTTTTTTTTAATTACAGCAAAAACTTGCCAATATTGACTTAAACTACTTGTACATAAAGCCTTGTGGCCAGTTTTCCACCTGCTTCAGACTCTGTGAGGATTCAGCGTGCATCAGTTGTCTGGTGGGACCTAGTTTAGCCCCGTAACTTCTGCGCCACTCCCTCCTGTGTTTTATATAAATACATAAAGCCACGTTGTATGTGATGCATACAGCTGCCTGTATTAGTCAGAAATGTAAACAGGGTGAACGCCTAGAAACGTTGGGGTTTTCCAGATTTCAGGAGTAATTGCCTGTAACAAACCCAGGTTCCCCTCGAACAGCCTGGATAACGCTAGAAATGAAATACGGCAGCGGGAAGAGGCGAATGTGATTTTACAGCGTGAGCGAGAGATGTTTTGAACACCTTTTGTATGGCTGGATGGTTACTCACAGAGCTGGTGCGTCTGCCAGCTGAGTAATAGCCCTCTCTTAGCTGCTGCACTGTACAGGTACGGAGCCTTTGCTCACCTGCTTTTGGTGGAATTTACCCGGGAAGACTTTAGGGCTGAGCTGTAAGAATGAAAACATCCTCAGCTATTTAAAAGAGACTGAGTTTCTAAGCTTTGTCTCAGCAGAAACCAGTTAGTGCTAGTAACAAACAGCCAGTGGCAGGAGCTAAATGCAGCTTCCCCCTCCAACAGTTAGCTCTGTTTTCTCCCTCCAGAAAAAGACCGCCCAGCAAGATGAAGAAATCGCCAGTTGGCAGCTGGCGTTCCTTCTTCAACCTCGGAAAATCATCGTCCGTGTCCAAGCGCAAACTCCAGCGCAATCCCAGTGAGCCCTCAGAAATGAAAGCCATAGCCCTGGCAGGTAAGGGTGCAAATCCCGCTTCCAAAAACCTGGCTTTTCCAGCTGTGCAGAATTCACGTTTACAGCGTGCTTTTATCTCCTCCTAGCGTTCAGGCCACGCATAACAGCTTCAGTTAAACGCTGTCTTTCCTAAATGGGTCTCGCGTTAGCTCAAGAGCCGAACCTGCTAGAGCGCACGCCTCTAATGCTGATCTCAGAGCAGCTTTGGAAAGACAGTGTATGGGCACCGCTCTAAAGTCTCAGAATAATTCCTTCTCGTGCCCTTATTATGAAATAAGAACATGGTTCTGGCTCCCTTTGCTGCTCTCAAAAGACACACAGTTAAACTAGGTAAAGGCACTTCTCTACAAGCACGTTCACCCCGAAAGTTACGCCCGTTGTACATAGAGAAGGCATCCAACCACCTTTTGTAGCTGCACCCAGTGTACACAGACTCTGAATTCTCACCCCTTTCCATACAGAGTTTGCTGTCTCTTTCCAGATTTAAAAGATTAAAAATAGCCACAGTATGTTTTTGTGGTGAAACACACCACGAATCCCTAAACATGGGCCAGTCAGGACTTTTATCCCATCTTCACCCTGGTACAATTTTCAAACGATAACCCTCACAGTCTTCAGTATCATCAGCACATTCTATGAACATCCTTTAAGGCTGTCTGCAGGCACCTCTGTAGGTCTCCCGTGCGCACCAGGACTACATCTGTCTCAGTAAAGCATATCAACAGTCAAACAGGATAAAGGGGTTTTTTTGAAGGCTTTGGAATGAAAACCAAACCCAAAAAACCCAACCCCAAAACAAAAAAGCACAACTCTTACTCTCAGGACACTGGTACTGCTGCTGGAAAGCCATTTGGTTTTTCCTGCCACCATTACATAGCCAAATATAAACCGCTTCTACCACTCGGCTTCTCACCGTCTCGGTTGCGTTTCTCTAGGTGGGCGAGGAGACAGCGGGACTCTCCGCTCGGCTAAAAGCGAAGAATCGCTTACCTCTCTGCATGCTGTGGATGGTAAGACAAAACCGTACCTGTACTTCCAGTGTGTGTGGATTAAAAAAGGCAGTCTGACATTACCGACTGCTGATACTCAACAGGGCACATTTTCCACCCCTCCGTTGAAAGCCAAGCTTGCTAATTAACAAAGCAGCTTACCACTGCCCAACACATTCATTCCTTGCCATCTCCCCTTGGTATTCTAAGGTGGAAAAGACAGCGTCAGGAAGGAAAATGCTTCCTGAGAAAGCCTGAAGTCTACAGCACGCTTGCACTAGCATTGATTTTGCAGACAGCTTAGTTTCAGACTAGAGTAGCCATGCCAACTGCTGTAAAAGAGTTTGAGCAAACGTAACAGACGGTTACTGCTAACTACATTGCTTTTGTGTTTGGAGTTCACCAGGTGAGCACCTTGCACGCTGCCTTACGACTACTTTAAAACCAGCACCTAACCGTCACCTCCTGGACAGGAAGGTTTGGACACTAACCCGCGTGCATCTGCTCGCTCCTAGGTGAATCCAAACTGTTTCGGCCCAGAAGACCAAGGTCCAGCAGCGACGCGTTGTCCGCTTCCTTCAACGGAGAGCTCTTAGGGAACATGAACCGCTGCAATTCTTACGACAACCTTCCCCACGACAATGACAGCGATGGGGACGAGGGGCTCATCCACGTTCCTGCCCTGATTTCCCCCCGATCTGCTGAAGACGTTGACCTGAGCCCACCCGACATCGGAGTGGCTAGCCTGGATTTTGACCCAATGTCTTTCCAGTGCAGCCCGCCCCAAGCAGAGTCCGAGTGCCTGGACAGCAGTACCTCCCTGCTGGAGTCCGTTGGCATGAACAAGGAGAAGCCAAGCCTGCTAAAGAAGGATTTAGAATCAGGCAGCCAGTCCCAGACACCAGGCAGTGCCACGAGCTCCGAGCCAGTCTCCCCTTTCCAAGAGAAGATGAGTCCCTTCTTTACTCTGGACCTGAGCCCAACTGAAGAGAAGGCCTGCAAACCCCACGCCTTCTCACCCAAGATGGGGCGAAAGCCCCTCAGATCTCCGCCGCTGACTACGTCGGAACCCGTCTCCTTCGCGCTGCCCAGCCGCATGCCAGAAGCGATTGGAGGAGCGCCCACCGCGTCCAGAAACTCCTCTGCTTCCAGCTGGAGCAAAGGGGTTGGCATCACTGATCTCACAAACAGGTCCCCAACCCAGATGTCCTTGCCCCTGAAAAGCAGTGAAACAGGAGCAGGGGAAGGAGCCCACCAAGAGCTACAGCATGCCCAGCTAGTGGCTGCTGGCAAGCCCGAGTTGCCAGAAGAAGGGGAGAGACCCATGTCAAGCAGTCAGAATAAGACTGTACCCACTGGACACACACAGCCAGGTACAGTGCATTTTCCTCCATTCTTCCTTTAAGTTCCAAAGGGGACCTGCTCTCAGAAACGTCCTCCTCTGCGTGCCTTGTAGGAGAGGGGATTGCCCGCCGGTTCTGATCACAAGTGTCTTGCAGGGCTGTGCAGATCAGTAAGGTCTTAACCTCTGCCTTCTCCCTACATCACACAAATCTCCAATAATTTTCCATAATAGTTTGTATACCACTTTCCCCTTTCAGCCCCTTCCCCCCCCCCCCATCTGTCATACACGACAATCTATAGCACGTTCTTCTAAATCATTTCAGCCAATAGACCATCTAAGACTTCTTGTTTGTTTTTTTTTAAATTAAAAGCCTGCCAACACTCAAAGAAGGGACCTTTTCGCCTAAAACCTTATGATCAAAATTGTGTAAGGGTGTCTCATTCTCTGCTACCTACTTCCTACCTCTCTAGAAATGCAAGAGGAGCCTTTAGACAATCTCTTGTGTTTTCTCCTTTTCGCTGATCAGCTGCTGTGCTACTGAGCAGCGTTTGCATGTGAGACAGAAGATGTAGTGTTTCGCATCAGAAGGAATTGCCACTGTGAAAGTGGGGAAAGCATCTATTTTTCTATAATAGTCATTAAGGTTAGGTCACTCTCCTTATTGGGTAACATAAAATCACTCTCTCTCTCAATTTTCCCCCCATTAGGAGCAGTTGCCCTCGACTCCCCCCAGGATCCTGTTCCCGTCAGTTCTGTGTCTCTTATCCCTCCTCCTCCTCCGAAAAACGCAGCGCGCATGCTAGCCCTAGCGTTAGCCGAGTCCGCACAGCAAGCATCCGCTCAGTCTCAGAAAAGGCCGGGAGATGCTCATGCTGAAAGCACAAATTATGGAGAGGCTGAAGCTGGCGCAGCTCTAGAAAAGCTCCATCTCTCTGCTGGTGCTCCAGACAAGCTCCACCTGTATACCGGTCTGCCCGAGAACCGACTGCACTTCCAGCCTGGTGCACCGGTAGAGCAGGATTTCCAAGGTAGCAGCACACCCGGGGAGCAGAACCACCCACCGGGCGCACCTGGAAACCGGGACCCCCCGCCTCTCCAGGCTGGCATGCCTGGGGACGCGCCCGGTAGCAGAGATGGAGAGCAGGAGCAGCCCAGCTTCCATCCTGGTAAACCAGGGGACAAAGAGCCGTCCCGCGCCGGGGACTGGGAGCACGCACCCCACCACGCTCCAGGCGCGCTGCCTGACTGGGAGCCACCCTCAGCAGACCTGTCTGTAGATAAGCCCCAGCTCCGCGCGGGCATGTCTGGGGACAAGCACCACGTCCCCGTCTCCACAGCCGACGACAAACTTCAGTCTCCTGCTGTCGTAACGGCCGGGGAGAAAAGCACCCCGGCTTCAGTGCCGTATTTAACAACCATCCAGACGACAGCACCTGAGCCGAACCGTGGGCCGGCAGGGCCACCCACCACTCAAC